ATAATTATTATCCACTAGTGATGGGCAATTCCAAGTCCGGAGTATCTGATCCTTCGATTCGAATGGAATCTTACTCGTATCAAAAGAGAAGTGGGAATCATTTTAAAGAATTCCAAATTAAGCCACACCCAACCACACCTCTTTAAAATTAACAATAGTTAATAAACCAGTAGTTAGTACATTAATTATTCATTATTATGTGCTGTAATAGATAACACATACTGTATAGCGACAAAGTTTCGAGGCAATAAACTTTCGTGAATCAGGCCACAATTTAAGCCTTTTTTCACGAATTAACTTTCGTGGTTCTTATTTTAAAGTACACGTGTTTATAGGGTGATACAGAAAATTTTACGGAATAAACTTTTGTGGATATGAAAAATCCACGAAAACAGCGAAAATTGTACCCTCAAAATTAAGTGGCTATATGGTAGCACAGCTGCAGTACTCAGAATTGGTATGCGATTCCAGTCCCAAAAGTATTTGGAATCAGAATCAATTGCAAATTTCTGGATTCTCCCATCTCTATACCATTTTTATAATAATATATAATATCATTAATAATTACGAATAATTATTATAATAAAAATGGTGGGGAAAATTAAGTCTGAAAGCAAAAAAACAAATACCTTTCCTCTCTTTTTTTCCCTTTTAGAACAGGCTGGTAGTTCTCATCATCTATGTGAAGGGGAGCTGCACACATACTAAAGATTTCGCGGAGGATCCTGTGAAACTGAGAGCCCGCCCCAGTGTTGCCAGTTGTTCACAAAATTTTGTCAAAAAGTTCAGGCTTTCACAAAAAAGTTATGTTTTCCAAAATTTTGCAACTTTAATAACTACTTATTAATTTTTATAACTACTTAATAACTATAGTAATTAATTTGTATAATTTTAATAAAGAATATGCTTATTACCTTTGGTGGCTCATTTTGAGAGCTAAATCAATGCAAAACACTGTATATTGCATAAACAATGGACTTTAAAGCTACTCAAACATTGAATTTTCAAAGTTCATAAAAAGTCAAAAGTTAAGTTTGTGAAAAAATTAGTTCATGAAAAGCTCATGGCAAGGTTGAAAAGTTCATGAAACATGAACTTTGTTCATGACCTATTAAACAGTCACATGACCAAATCATAATCACATGCATGCCCACACATGGTATGTAATTTTATGGTAGCACAGGCTGATGTGCTGCCATAAAATTACCATGAAATAAGTGCATGTATTCTGATTTCTGAACAATGAACAATTAGATCTATAGTTTGATATTTAAAAAAATTACTAAATCCAAACAACTAATTTTAAATAAGTTTATGCAGCAAACTGGGTCTCTAAAAGCTACTAAATGCCTATTTACTAGCTAAAACTTTTAAACTTTTGTCCTATTAAGCAGAAAGAAAGTCACAAACGGTTTTAACTTCTTTTCTGGTAACATATTTTGCTTTAGCTTGTATTTCTGTACCACTGAAATCCATTGAGATGTCAGCTAATCGCTGGCTTTTTGGCAAATTATCAGGGTTAGGAACATCAAGAACTAGTTGGCCAATTTTAGTGACTGTGCTGTTTCCTTTCTTGTCAACCGTATACTGGGTACCAACATTTGGCGTTGAATAGATATCAATGAACATCTGTGTATCGGCAACACTTGCTGGCCTCAAATCGATGCTAATAACTTCATCTGTATTAACCATCTCACCTTTTTCTAAAAAGACACAGAACACATTTTTACATCGATATATGTCCTCCTCATCATCAAAGTATTTATAATGCTCGTCATGTTTCTCTGAGTTGAAAGGGATAGTCACAGGAATTCCATAGGTAGCATCAGATCGCCTTGCTTTGATTATTCCTGGATTTTTACGCCACATTGCAGCTCCTGTAGCAACTGCAAGATGAGGACTAACTGGTACAATGACATTGCAGTGACTACCTTTTACCTCCTTTATGGCAGCAGTAACCTTTTCATGAATATATTTACAGCTGCCAAATCCACCAACGAGGTAAAAGGTATCAATTTTGCTTCCACATACTTTAATTGCTTCTTCTATGCAATTTATAATCCCTCTCAATGCTGGACCAAACAAATGAGACTCAACTACACTTTCGTCAATGAACAATGTGTAATCTTCATAATCAATGCCTTCCATTTCTTTAACTTTAGCAACTATTTCTTTATCGTAACAATTGGCAAACTTGGGATGGAGCTCAATAGTCATTTCCTTACTTTTGCAATCCCCAAATATGACTTTTTGCTCTTCAAATTCAGCATACAATATGCTATTGATTATTGCCATTTGCCTGGATTGCTCTCCTGAAGCTAAAAACTTTTTATAATCAGGATCATGCACAAGCTTTTGAAGCAACTGAGAGAAAGCTTTGTTGACCTGAGTACCACCCCATGCATTGCCGGTTGGGGTATTTTCTACTCGAATACAGTCAAACGTTTCAGTATGAGCAGTGATATCAACGGTACCTCCTCCTATATATATCACCATGTATTTCGTAGGACGACTAATAGATGCTTTTGATAGACCATACTCTATTTGTGCTCCTGTTACTTCTTGGCTATAAATGGCTGCTGATTCTGGCTCTAGTGCTAGTGACAGCTTGTCAGGATTAACTTCATCTGGAGGTGGAATAGGGCTACAAGACTGTGCTGTTAAATGATTAATGCCACCAGACTCTGTCAACAAACCAGCCTATACATTGATAAAATAGCTTTAAGTAGTATTGGATATATCTCACCAAGTAAGCAGCTTCTCTCATCATTCTTTTTCCACGTGCATCCCATATAGCAGGTACAGTGATGACCCAATCAAAGTCAGTTGTTTTCAATGGCCTGACAGTACGCGAGAAGTGATTTATCAATAGATCCTTCAGGTACTGGAGTATGAATGCAATGACCTCAACCAGATAGTACTTTTCCCCAGAAAATGACTCAACTAATGTCTGTCTGTCAACTGCCTATATAATTTAAAAGACATAAAATAATCATGTAGATCACCTTGCATTTACCTGCTCCCTTCTCATCAGCATCTTAATTCTCTCAAAATAAATGTAATTTACACAGTCACTAGACCTCAGTGATACAAATCTTTTCTTTGCATCAGCTCCAAATGCTCCAACCCTTATTTTACATCCTTCTTTCTTTAGCAGGACAATATTGGGTACCCTGATAGATCTGGTTTGTGTATCTAGAGGAAGAATATTAACTAGTTGATCTCCTTTGGTAGTGAAAGCCAGTGAAACTGATGCAGTTCCAAAATCTATAACAGCAATATTGCCACCAGTAATACAATACCCAGCATCAGTACGAGGATTCTTGACTGCTCTAGACAAATAGCTCATTATGGCAACTAGCCAGTTTATAATTTTTACACGTAATTTATAGTGTATCTAGCTGTTGGGCTGCTTTTTTAGCCACAACATGCTAGATCTAGTATATAGCTCAAATTCTTGGAATCAATCAAGTCAGTAATATAAACTACCATGGGTATTCCATTCCAGGAATCAAGTAGACTATAACAAGAATATTTTAAGTTTATTCATGACACATTGACACTGCTGCAGCTGCACTCTTAGATAAATCATTTAAAATAGACCTAATTAAGTCTATTATATACTGAAATCTAGACTACTACATTGGGATTTTGTAGTAGAATGTAAGATTATTTTTGCATCTCAAACCAATACCAACCATTAAAGCTCATTATGGACTGACACAGAAAATTAATTATACCACTTAGATCTATGTGCCAGCTCATGAAATAGGAGGCCTAATATCCAATAGTGAATAGATAAGTACAATAACACATGCAGTTGTGAATCATTTAAACAATTCATTAAAATGACTAAATAAATCTAAACCGCTAGTAGTCCATGCAACAAGGAAAAACTATCAAAAGCCTATTACTAAAAATTTTAAAACTTTTGTCCTCAGTATTGAGCAGAAAGAAAGTCACAAACAGTTTTAACTTCTTTCCAGTAGCATGATACTTTGCCTTAGCTTGTATCTCTGTACCGCTGAAATCCATTGTTGTATCAACCGTACGCCGAAATTCAGGCAACTTATCAGGGTTAGGAACATCAATGACTATTTGGCCAATTTTAGTAACTGTGCTGTTTCCTCTCTTGTCAACTACATATTGGACGCCAGTGTTGGGTGTTGAATAGATTTTGATGAACATCTGTTCAGTTGCCTTGCTCATTGGCCTCGTAGATGTACTAATAACTTCATTTGTTTTAACCATCTCACTTTCCTCCAAAAAGACACAAAACACATCTTTACATCGATATATCTTGTCTTCATTATCATAGTACTTATAATGCTCATCATGTTTCTCTGAGCTGAAAGGGATAGCCATTGATATTCCATAGGTAGCATCAGATCGCCTTGCTTTAATTATTTCTGGATTTTTACGCCACATTGCAGCTCCTGTAGCAACTGCAAGATGAGGATCAACTGGTACAATGACATTGCAGTGACTACCTTTCACCTTTTTTATAGCAGCACTGACCTTCTCATGAATATACTTACAGCCACCAAATCCACCAACAAGATAAAATGTATCGATTTTGCTTTGACTTACTTTAATCCTCCTTCTATGCAATTTATAATGCCTCTCAATGTTTGCCCAAACAGTTGAAACTCGACTACATTTTCATCAATATACAATGTGTCACTTTCATATTCAATGCCTTTAAATTTCTTTACTTCTGCAACTATTTCATTATCGTAATAGGTGGCAAACTTGGGTTGGAGCTTCACAACTATTTCCTTACTTTTGCGATGCCCAAATACAATTTTTTGATTCTCAAATTCATCATACAATATGCTATTGATTATTGCCATTTGCTTGGATTGCTCTCCAGAAGCTAGAAACTTTTTATAATCAGGATCACGCACAAGGCTTTGAAGCAACTCAGAGAAAGCTTCATTGACCTGAGTACCACCCCATGCAATACCGTTTGGGGTATTATTTACTCGAATACAGCCAAAGATTTCAGTATGAGCAGTGATATCAATGGTACCTCCTCCTATGTCTATCACCATGTATTCTGTAGGACGACTGATAGCTGCTTTTGATGGATCACATTTTATTTGTTCTCCTGTTACTTCTTGGCTATAAATGGCTGCTGACTCTGGCTCTAGTGCTAATGACAGCTTGTCAGGATTAACTTCATCTGGAGGTGGAAGAGGGCTACAAGACTCTCCTGTTAAATGCTTAATGCCACCAGACTCTGTCAGCAAACCAGCCTATACATTGATAAATGGCTTTGAGTTACACAGCATTATGTGTTATATCTCACCAAGTAAGCAGCTTCTCTCATCATTCTTTTTCCTCGTGCATCCCATATAGCAGGTACAGTAATGACCCAATCAAAATCTGTTGTCTTCAATGGTGTGATAGTATGTGAAAGGTGATCTATCAATTGATCCTTCAAATACTGGATTATGAATGCGATGATTTCAACGAGATAACACTTTTCCCCAGAAAGTGACTCAACTAATGTCTGTCTGTCAACTGCCTATTTAATAATCAAAACTCAAAAGTATAAAAATTTTATTTTGTATTTACCTGCTCCCTTCTCATCAACATCTTTATTCTCTCAAAATAAATGAAATTTGCATAGTCTCCAGACCTCAGTGATCCATACTTTTTCCTTGCATCTGCTCCAAATGCTTCAACACTTATTTTATATCCATCTTTTTTTAGCAGGATAACATTAGGTACCCTGGTCGATCTTTCTTCTGCATCTAGACGAAGAGTGGTGAATTGTTGATCTCCTTTGGTAGTATAAGCCAGTGAAACTGATGTAGTACCAAAATCAATAGCAGAAATATTGTCCTCAGTAACACGATACCCAGCATCAGTATGAGGTTTCTTATCTGCTTTAGACAAGTAGCTCATTATAACAGGTAGATCTAACTACAGGCTCCAGTTAAATTTTGTAGTGGCTATTGGGATGCTTTTATATTTAAAGAAACTATATAAGGACTTATAGCCACAACAATGCTATTGCTTGGAATTATATTAGGTAACAAAAATCATTGCTGCTACCAAGAGTATTCAATTCCAGGAATACTAATAATGTTAACCTAATTTATGACCTTGCACACTTATAATTTTTAGAAACACAGCATGCAGCAATTTTGCAAAACTTTTTATATGACCACAACACACTAACCCAGCCTATTAAAACAGACCTTAATCTAACTACATTCATGTCTCAGGCTATAATATCACAAGTAGAACAATAACTAAGTTTCAAAATTTGGAATTAGTCTTCACAAAATAATGTAATAATATCTCATGCTGAACTACTTCCATGGCAATAGATCTACTCTGAACTTAGCCAATGCCATGTTCTTAAGCTGTGAGAATTTTCAAACAGTATAGCTAAACTCGATGCATTATTCCTTGTCAAGAAGGCTAATGTAAATTCAAAAAACATTTTTGACCAAACTGAGATAAATCTAATGCATAATTGTAAACTAAAACTTTTTGCAGTAAAATTAAGTTTTTGCCAAGTATGGGTCTGATGGAAGAGAGACTTGAACTCCCGTCGGGATTTCCCCATCCATTTACAGCGGACAGCACTACCCTTTGCTATTCCACCCCTCTTTTCTCGGGGCTGGAATTAAACCCACACCCCCTTGTTTACATGACAATTGCTCTCTCATTAACCCACCCAAGCCCACTCAAAGGGCCCTGTCTCTGATGAGATTTTAAGTCTGGCATGCTACATGGCACCACGGATACAAAAGGGCCACGGCCCAACCTCGATACATGTGGATGGTACCTAATAAGGTGGCAGCCCGTTTACCCCAATCAAAGTCCCCGAAACTAATGTCACGAACCCCAAACTCAAGGGCAAGTAGGATTTCCACAATAGAGCCATCAATTGGTCGTACCTGACTCGCAGGAGGGTTGCTCGAATTCAAATAAATATATATACAATAACGGATGTTTTTACCCCCAATTACCCACCACCTAAAAATAAAACTGCACTCAAGGCCGACATTAAAATGATATTGGCGTATTCTGCTAAAAAGAACAATGCGAATGAC